GTGCAAGACCTGGCCTAGAGTTGTGTATTTTTCTTCTTGCACAGAGTGGAAGTATATGGCTACCTCTGTGTGTTACCAACATTTGCTGATTTTAATCAAGTCACCCCTTAGTTTGCTTTTGCTTGGCATACAGATGAAAGGAGTTGGCTGGCATGTGTTTATGGAGGTAGAGGAATTTTTATACAATGATGTAAGCATATTTCCAGAAGGCAAGTTGAGATTTGTGTGTGTGAATACTCCTAGCTGAAACTTGACTCATTAAGACAGAAGACATAGTTCCATGGGGTTGGATGTGATCAAACAAAGCAAGCAAAGAGCTCCATAGATCTTTTTTTAAACCCAGATTTGCAGTAAATCTTTTATAATCCATGGCTTAATAGCTGAGTAAATTATTATTTTTAAAAAGCCATTAAAAATGGGTAGTTCAAATGAGTTATGTAGGTTTATCGTTAATTGATTCTGCTTTAGTTAAAACTTCAGAAATGTTTCAAGTTCGGTATAAATTCACATACTAACATTAGAGAATGAGTTTTCTTTGTTTGGCAAAATACAACTTCTGCCTGTCTTTCAGCAGATTTTACAGTAGTCGTTTAGACTAAAAAGCTTGTTAATGTGTTCTTCTTTTCATCTCAGCTAGGTGACTTCTATCTAGAGCTTCACTGGGATTTTCAAAGTTGGGGTAAGCAATTGCCTGTTCCTTTCACAGGGAGATAATGTAATCAGTCTTCAGCACACTTGTTCTCTCAAGCTGAAATTCTCTTCTGGTTTGCGTGCTGGAAGGTTCACAGTCCAGTTCTCCAGATCTAAGTTATAAAGAAAGGAGAAACAACTTTTTTGCTGAATTATTTTTGCTTATTCATTTTTGGAGCTGAATCCTATTCTGTAATCCAGTGACACAGTATGGGGAGGGGGAGGAGGGACAAGCTGTTGTTTACTCTAAGAAATGGATTATTGGAAGAGCAGAATATTAAAATGTCTCTGGTCGATTGGTGTCACTACAGAACAGTGGTTTGAACAATTTAGTTGAGTAACTGGACTTGGAGCATTTAATTTCCTGAATTTCAGCCTGTTGCCATACTCTGAATGGCAACTGGCAGTTAAGTGCAGCTACGCAAGTTTCATCAAACCCTGTCTTCACCTTAATATTTCTTTTATGTGGCTGTATAACATTTAGTGTTTTCTCAATTTCCACCTTATCTTATCTGTAGAAGAAAAATTAAATAAAGTAACAAAAATGCATTAATAATGACCAACGCGTCTGAATAATGTCAAAATACCAGAGGCAATACCTTCTGTTAGTGGTTGAAATTTGAGTTAGTAATTTTACGTACTTTAATATAGGCATAGTCTAAGTATTTGATGGACTAAATGCCTCTTCCAATATTCAGCGGAGGAAGGAGCAGCAAGGCTGCCATCAAATGTTGAGCAGATACGGAACAAACCCCTCATTTTTCTAGGTGGCCTACTGGGTGCTGCACATCTATTGAGTAGCCTTTTTCATGGAAGAGTCAGCATGAAAAAGAGTAGAGCTGGGCTTGGAGTAAGATAAGACATGGCTTAGTGATGAGACTGCAGCCTCACTGGCAGGGTGATGGTGGCAGGCAGACATGGCACAGCAGAAGTGATGTCAGGTGTCAAGCCAACTTCTAGGGAGCTTCCTCTTCTCCAGGAGCCTCATTGGGCCTCTGTTCAATTTTGGTTTTTCTATATATTCGCTTTCTTGAAGGGGAAAAGATGCTCTGGGCAGTGCCTCTGTCCTAATTAGTGATCCTCTAGGCTAATTACATTTTACAAATGGTCTTCATTCTTCATGGATCATTTTGAAGAAAGACTTGAAAGGCCATTGTGTTGAAGTGGTTTTATTGCTATAAAGTAAATGATCCTTTTTTGAATAAGGGCAGCTGCAGTCTCATATCTGTCTCATAATACTATACTGACTCTCAGTTCCACTGGTGGTTTAAGGTTTGGCTGATGTTTTAAGATTAGTGCATGAGATTATTTTTTTTTCCTGCTTGTGGGTGGTCTGCTTTTAATTGTAGCTGGGTTTTTGATTATATATAAGGAAACTGTCAAATAATAGAATTAAAATTTCAAACAGATAGAAGGTGATTTACTAGAATTTATAAATGATTTAGCTGTGGCTGAGGACGTTTTAAATTATGTCCTGATGCTGGAAGTAGTCTGTACAATTATAAATAATTTTTGAAGTTATTGAATAGAAACAGCCTGGTATTAGTCAGTTGTATTTGTATTGAGATTATGATGGAAAATGGGTATGCTGTATTGGTATTAAAATACCTTGAGATTCAAACTGATGTATGGTTTTACTAGAAATACTTTGCAGAGGAACTTCAAAGTCCTAATTGTGTTCTCTCTCCCTACCTTTAGTGCCTTTACTTTCCCGAATTCTGCCTTCTGATGCATGTAAAATACACAAACAAGGTATAAATATCAGGTAAGTCCTGGTTTTACAGTGTGTGTAATCTAAGTCATAAATACCTGCATGTTAGTGAAAACGCTGGCTTCCAGCATGGTCTGAAAGAAACCAGTGAGGAGACTGTGAAGAGCACTGTGTTTGTACGTTGGCGTTGAGAGGCAAGAAGCGGTTTGAATGTCAGACTGTCTTTTTTTCTCTGTTGATCTGAATTTAACTTCAGTTCCTGAGTCTCTTAATATAAAAGCAACAGCAGTTAAGCTGTATAAGGCTTTATCTACTAGAAATGTCAATGTTTAATTGAAAAACAGGAATGTGATATTTTTAACACAATTTCAAATAGATGAGCTTTCAGTATTTTGTGGAGAAGTGTTGCGGCCCCAGTCTACGTAGTAAGAAAAGTGGTATACTTTCTCTTTTTAAAGTGCTTAATGTGACAGATCCACAAGCTCAATAGAGTGCTTGCAGCAGTCTTTCCAAGCTCAGCCCTTGAACTGGTTTAGTTTGGGGTTTTTGGAGTCTTTTCTGACGTTTTCTTTAGGTTCCAAAGTTTAAAACAAAAGTGAAGAATGTGATTCAGGAGATTCAATCTGTAGAAAATTTTGTCCTGTTGAAGCTGTTGGCATAGGTGTATGAACTGACTTTTTAGGTCAAATTTGAGCCCGAGACCATCATTTCCTTCTCATTTCTGTGTGCTCTTCTTGCATGAGACTGACGCTGAGTGGAAGTAGCTACAGAATCTTTCTTGAAATCAGAGGCCAATATATGATGAGTGTTAAGCAGCCACCCCTTAGAGCTGGAGTGGTCACTAAATTTAGGTTCTTTAATCATCTTTGTAAAGAGGTAAATATTCTAGCAGTAACAGATACGAGTTGCTAGCAAGATCTTTGTCCTTGTTTCCATCTTCTAGTCATTCAGGTCAGCAGAAGCATTTCTTTTGTGTTGGTGAGGGGAAAAAATAGAAATAGCAACTAAAATAAGTCAAATTAAAAAATCAGACTGTTTCTTAGTCCTCTTCATAATGTGGGTCATGTCCTAATATCGTTACTCGAGTTAGTGGCTGCTGCTTGTAGAATGGGATGCTGATCATGTGGAGTAGTTGTATTTCTCAGTGTGGAGCACACGCTCGCTATGTGAACTGCTGCTTCCTCGTGCTGGCAGTTTTGAAATAAACCTTTCTGAAGAAAACTTTACCCTCTAGTGTAAGAATAGTTTGCAACGCGTTTATAACGGCAGGGATGTTATCATGTGAAACTTGTTAATAGCCGTTTTTTTTACTTCTGCATCCAGGCTCCACTTAAAAAATTCTCAATGAAAACTTAGGCCTTAGTGTGTTTGGTTGTGATTTAAAAAAAAAAAAAGAAAGAAAAAAAAAAAAAAGCTTCTGCTTACGAACTGAACTTAGGCGTTAAAGTATTGGCATATTTTCACAGGCTGGACACAACTCTCATAGACTTTACCGACATGAAGTGCCAACGAGGGGATTTAAGCTTCATTTTTAACGGTGATGCTGCACCCTCTGAATCTTTTGTAGTTTTAGACAATGAACAAAAAGTTTACCAGCGAATACATCATGAGGTAAGGATCTGTGTCAATGTAGGGTGTGACATACCTCAAGCTTTTACTTGACATCAGAAGTCTGACCTACTTTATTAAACAAAATGTGCTTCTCAAAAAGACCCAAACAAGCTCCAAAGAAATGCAAACCAAAGAATTTTTGGTTGAGTTGCTGTAACTGAAGCTGTATGGGTGACATAACATTTTTTTACGAAAAACAGTGCTTTTGAATACAGACTTCTAAATGACAAAAAAGCTACAATGTGAATCTTGGAAAAACCTTTTACCGTTCTGAATAGGCAAATATGTCTTAAGTTATGATGCATGCTGCTTTTAATCTTTCCAGTGGGCTTAATATAGGTGTCCTTGGGTGGGTTTTCAAACTTGCTTGCCACCGCTTTGCATCTGTTTAGTCACTCCATGGCCAGTTCAGTTGTTAACAGTGCAAGGTCTGACTCGCTGGACCCCTTGTATTTAGTCAGGTTTTTAATTACAGCTTTATCCACCAGTCACTTAAGCATATGGATCTTTGCCGGTGGAAAGGGGGTGGCTGCTGACCTTCTTAATACATCCCACTTGGATGCTTTATTTGCTTAACATTTGAAATTAAACCATTCGGTAACCATTTGGCTAGAGCCTCTATAAAACAGTTGGAAAATTCAGGAAATGCTTGTTTGGAGAAAAGTTCCAAAGGAAAAGGTTTATCAATTTGTTTGTTTGTTTTGATTTGGTTTGTTGTTTTTTGGTTTGTTTTTTTGTTTTCAGAAGTAGTAATAATTATTATTAAGTTCTATTCAGCATTTGGGAATTTTTCTTCTAGGAATCTGAGATGGAAACAGAAGAAGAGGTTGACATTTTGATGAGCAGTGATATTTACTCAGCAACATTATCAACCAAATCAATTACCTTCACGCGTGCCCAAACGGGATGGCTATTTCGAGAAGACAAAACAGTAAGCTGCGAGAAAATCTCACAGACTGCATTACTGGGGGCAAAACAGTTCAGACAGCCTTGTGGTGGTGTGGTTGGGAGAAAATAAGCAAATTCCTTCCAGGGCATGCAGTAAGGATTCTGTGCACTCCTGTGTTGGAGGAATGCAGGAAGCTGGAAGTGTTCTGGGTAGTTCCCCTTTGGTGTGCCTGTCTGGGTTACCAGTGTGACTGGAGTACAAGTTCTCGCCTGTGAAAAAAATGAAACGGCCACTGTTGTAACTCTTTGAGTAGGAAATTGCTGTCTTGTGACTAGCTCTGAGGGATTTTGGTTTCATCTGGTAGCAAGTTTTCGTCTGAGCTGGCGTTTCAGAACCTTTTTCCTTGTGAATACCAAATCCATATTCTACATGTGTAAATTGTCCTTTACCACAGCGTGCTGTGAAGGGGATTTTAGTCAGGTTTCCCTTTGCCGCTCTTAAATTCTTGAACAATCTTTTCTGTCTTAAAGAAGGACTGTTGAAGAAAACAGAAATACCTGTTCCCAATGGAGTTCTGCTGTTTGTGCTGTGCCTGCCTTAGTGGGATTGCCCACTGACATCTCACGTGGTTGCCTGTGTGAATTACAACATTTCAACCCTGAAGTGCAATTATTTGGCTATACAAGAATTAGAATGGTTTTATTTTGTCTTCTCGGAGTCATTAATGTCCCAATTCCTTTCCTGCAGGAAAGAGTAGGAAACTTCTTGGCAGATTTCTACTTGGTTAATGGACTTGTATTAGAATCAAGGAAAAGACGAGAACATCTCAGTGAGGAGGATATTCTTCGAAATAAAGCTATCATGGAGAGCCTGAGTAAAGGTGGCAACTTAATGGAACAAAATTTTGAGGTATACTTAAGTAATTCTTCACAGTATGTGAATTTTTGCATAGGAGAATAATCTTTCACACCAGTTGTTTAGCAAAATCTATAGATAACGGTTTTATTCAATTTTGATTGTCTTAATTTTAAAATAATAAATATGACCTACAAGTATAATCATACACATTAATGAATTATCCTGATTAGTGCACGCATTGAGGAATTTCTGTGATTATATTGGATATTTTGGTCTTAATTTGCCTCTTACTGAAAGATGATGGTTTTGGCTGTGGCAAATCACTTTTAAACTTCTTTTAGACCAAATGTTTATTGTTTAGAATGCCTCTCTGGTTTTCTTTTCAATCGTGTTTTGCTTTAGCTCTATTACAATGTACTAAGCCTGTCATTATCACCATGAAATCAAGAGCTATTCAGAATGAGCCAGACATCATCTGGGAATACACTTACAGCCTTTTCAAAATGATTAATTTATTTCTGTATTAGCTTATGCTTTGTTACTTGTCATTCAGACACTTGAATTAACTGATTAACTGATGTATTAAACCAGCCAACTTCTATGTAAAATACAGTTTGGGGCCGAATACCTAAATGGAGGCTGTGAGAGCAAGAGCATGAGGTGGAACAGCCCAGCGAAGTGCAGCTACAGACTGCATAGGCTATATGGCTGTTCTTCGTAGAATTGAAGTGCGGTTGTGTCTTTCAAATGGCAGAATTCTAAGAGAGCATAAGGACAGATAAACAGTTAAGATATGTTTTTCTGAACAGCCTGTCAGACGGCAGTCTCTTACTCCACCATCACCCAACACAATTACGTGGGAAGAGTACATATCTGCTGAAAACGGAAAGTAAGTGTGCTTGGTTTATTGCCGTTGCCTTCCACAGACCTTTAGATTATTGGGTTGGGGGTGGGGGGATTCGGGTTGGGTTTTTTGTGTTCTCTAGTTTGTAGGTGCTTTTAGTTTATAGTTTTCTTGGGGCAGAGGAGCACTGGGTTTGATGTCGCACATGTTTAACGTTCTTCAGTAGGCTGGCTGGGAAGCTGGTACCTGTGTACCTACATGGTGTTCTTGCATCAGCTGGGGATAAAAATACTGGATGGGCGTCTGCCTGATACCCATGGCTTGGAATTTAAACATTTTGAAAAGATGCACATCAAAGCTGGCTTTTTTTTTTAAGGAAGATTTTCTGACAGATTCGTTTATCTTATGATAGTAATAAATAACCTAATTCACCATGTTTAAAAAAAAGTTTATGATTTAGTGAGGATCTTGCAGCAGTGGCAGTGTATGAACTGGAATACAAGGACACAGAGATCTCCTAGTACTGGCTAGATCTTGGCAAGGTACTCTCCACTAGGTGCATAACTAGGTAGTGAACAGCTGTAGTTTAATTTACAGCAGCTTCATTTGTAGAAGGTTCAAGCAGTTGAGTTTATTTTCTAGGACTGCGTGCTGTCTGGCTGTTGAACGTGGAAGGACCAAAAAATGATCTGAGTGCGTCACATAAGTAACAATGATGAAAGTGCTTTTTCCGGAGATGTTAGGCTAGCCTGTAGTCAGATGGTGCCAGGGAATACGATGGTATCACAGTACAGGCGTACTAAAAAGGGATGTTGGTCTGTGTTGGTCTTTTTAAACTAATGTAATTTTTAATATATTTGAGTTAGAATGGACATTCAAGCAGAATAAATAGGTTATGATTGAACAGCTGTTACTATTGGGACAGAAATATGTATGTGAGATTTCCCTTTGTTTAATAATCTGATTAACTGAAGGGAGTTTAGTGGGAAATCTAAGTTTCTAGCTGATATAAAGCAGGAGAGGAGGAGATTTGTTATCTTATTTACTACCTGTCTATTCCTCTTCTATAACAGGATTTTCTGTCCTGTATTTTCCAGTATTGCCTTCTAGTGATAGTAGAGTAACTTCTCCACTTCTCTGAGATTGTTTCATATTTTAGGCTGAAAGCAAACTGACCTTTTTCTAGTTCAACTTGATGCTTTGTTCACATAGAGACTATTTTAATTGACATCTGAAATCAGCTGTATATATTTCTGGGTAGTTGTCATGTCTTTCTGTGATGTTCACTAATGTAATGTTTATGAGGAATTATTTGAAGATTTTTCTTAAGTCATTTCCTGAACTGGTTTTGTCTTGTCTCCCGGTTTAGCAGGACTCCCGGTAACCTAAATTAAGATGGTTACTGACTTGTCTTGGCTACACGCAGCTTCTACTGCTGAAGCATTTGCTTTGTTGTAGGGATTCTTTACTGAGGTTTTCAACCTGAGTCTTTCTTCCTTTCTTTGAAACGGAGGTTTCGCTGAGAGACAAGCTGACTTTGTCTTTCTCCCGTCCCTGTACAGAGCTCCTCACCTGGGTAGAGAGCTGGTCTGCAAAGAAAGCAAGAAAACCTTTAAAGCCACGATAGCTATGAGCCAGGAATTTCCCTTAGGAATCGAATCGTAAGTCAAAACTATTGGCCATGAGTGTTATTTGTACGTAGGAAATTTTTTGATGTATTTATGAACTGCAGAATTCTTCGTGTCTCCAGAAATGGAAATTTGGCAGTTTAAAACCAGCAAATAAAGCCATGCTGTTAAGCAAGAAAACAGTTAAAATTGGAGACCTTGGTGCTGGTGTGCCTGTTGTTGGAAGAGTCAAGCACTTACCCTGCTTGGTCAGGCCAGAGGTTTGCCCAGGTTTATCCGTAACTTGTCACAATACTGATGTGTCTGATTCTACAGAACTCTAAGGTGGTTTTTGCCAGTAACAAGTTTTAGCTCGGCGTTACGTTCTCTAAACCAATACAAAACCATGTTAGGTTCCTTATGTCTGTGGAGAAGAGGGCGTGGTGCTGTGTGCTTCGGTCTCTTGTGTAAAATGAGGACTAGGAGTTAGCATCTTGGTGTTTATTTGCACACCTATGGAAATACGATACGGATCACTAAGAACTGAACGTGAGGGTGCTGATATTGAAGGATTTTCAAGTCCTTTTTTATCACCTAGCTCTTTGGGTCATTTTTATGTTTTCTAGAAGGAAAGCTTGTGAAACAAGAGTTTGTAATGAAATTTGTAATGAAAAGAGTTTGTAATTTTTCCTTTTCAGATTGTTGAATGTTTTGGAAGTAATTGCACCCTTCAAGCACTTTAACAAACTTAGAGAATTTGTTCAAATGAAGCTTCCGCCAGGCTTTCCTGTAAAATTAGGTAAGATGACTACAACATCTCTTGTGGCTTTGTATTTCCAAAATGTGTGTACTTACTTATGCAATATGTTCAAAACTTCTGCTAGGTTTTGGAAAAGAACTCTCTTACGCAAGAGTGCGTTGCTGTGGTTTCAGGAGAAAGCGATTAAGTTAGTGGAAGTGACGTTGGGTAGGAAATCTGCAGCTGAAAGGTGAATATAGTCCTAGTTGAGAAGAGAGCTCTGTAATGTACATTTTCCAAACACTGGGGTCCTGCTCTAGGAGCAGTGTGGGTAGGTATGCCGAATTATCCGTGCATTAAAGGATGAGCTCAGTTCCAAGTTGAGTATTTTGTAGCATTTTTATATTTCTTTTTTCCTCAAGGATTACGGGTGATGTGTTTTTTCACTTACAAATAAACAGAAAACTATTACACTTCTGACACATGGAAATGTATAGAGCAGTTGGTTCATGCTATAGATTGTCACAGCATGAACTGCCAAGAAGGAGTAGTACCTTTTCTGAGTGTTACAGGACTTTTTGCAGACTCGTAAGCTGTTTAAGCTAGACAGTTCTGAACAGACTGTGTTCTGCCTCCTGTCATATTTGCACAGCTCTGTTTATTGAGGGTTGAATTTGTGCTTAGCTCAGTAAGTTAGTTCGTGGGCGAGTCAGTTTTACTGAGGATAGCCCTGAAGTGCTCAGTTCAAATTGGAAAAGGGTTTTCTCTTACAGCAAACAGTAAAATGTTCATCTTTCCGTGTGGATTTGCCTAACTGAAGCCTACGTGTGGCAAGGTTGTTTTATCTGGAATCGTCCTCAGGCCAATGTCCTCCATTTTGAGAGATAAATCTGGATGTTCACAGCACCTTAGTTTCCATGTCATCAGTCTGCATCAAGGGAAGAAACCTGCTGAATTAATGATATTAGTGGTTTTTTGAATGGTGTGTTGAGCTGGGTGTTGTTTCTGCACTTGAGGTATCTGAGTATGTTCTGAAATAATTTTCTTTTAAACCACCTCATTTTTTAAGAGCTTTGAATCCCCATCGAGAATCCTAATCAAGCTTCTGTGTCTTCAGCAAGCCTGAAGTTACAGATCTGTTCAGCAGCAGTCGGTAATTATTGGTAGGCCAGTGTTTCTTTGCTCTTCATTGTACCCTTTTGCTTCCATCTAGATATTCCTGTATTTCCCACCATCACAGCCACTGTGACTTTTCAGGAGTTCCGTTACGATGAATTTGATGAATCCATCTTCACTATTCCTGATGACTACAAGGAGGACCCCAGCCGTTTTCCTGATCTCTAACTAAACTGGAAGGCTAGTGGTGAATGACAACACCAGCGTACCACAGTGGAAGCAAGTGGATGCAAATAGCCCACAGACAGAGATACAAAAGTGGGTCGTAAAGAAAGGGATAGACTTAATAATCCAGAAGAAAAGGGAACGTGCATCAAATGATGTACTGCTACTCACTACAATGGGCATCTAATCTAGTTCCTGATTTCCAGCAAGTCTCCTGATGTGTCGTTCACTCTTTTATACATCCAGTACTGCAAGCGTGGTAGTCTGACGCCTCGATGACCCCGAGAGTACTTAACAGCTGTGAGGACTATCATTATTTTTAAATTTTTTACATTTCTTGGTGATACAAAAAGCATTCTTGGACCATTAGCGTAAAAGTTGAAATGTCTTGGCCGGATATTAGCCCTCTAGAACATCCCACCACACTGAAGATGACCATATTCTATTCTTTGGAGCTTTGTTTTCATGAATTGTAAAATATGTATCATTATGTATAGTTCAGTAACTTGAATGTTAGTTGAACGTATAGAAGGAATGCATTTTCTGTAGACGAATGAACCAAACGGTAACCATTAAACAGTTGCATTTTCATACCGCAATACACTTCAGAAATAGCATTCGCTCTGCAGGGAATAAGGTACCTCCTCTAGCACCTTAGTGCGATCCATTGTGGTGCTATCCATGTCTCGGAACCCTTCCTTTCTTCACTGAGCTGTTCGTTATCCTTTCGTTGGCGCTGTGCTTTGCTGCTCTTCATCACGCTGGCTTGGAAGTCCTCCCTGTGTCTGTGATGCCGTGTTGATGCGCGTGCTCAGAGGTTCATGGCTAGAAATTGTCGTTTTTGTCGTCTTTTGTCACATTCACTTGGGAGACATGCTCCAGACTGGCCAAGCAGCAGCTAGATTATCCTGTACTGGTGTTCAGCAGCCACTTGGAAACGCGGGATACGCGTCTAGAGAGTTAGAGAACAACCCGCTCCAGCACGAAGTCGTCGTATGAGACGACATTTCTCTTGAATTTAGCTGAATTGTGGTGCATGTTGAATAGGGCACACATCGGAAGATTTTGTTTGCAAATGCTGAGGGTGTTTCCTTCCTCTTAATGTTTTGGATAGGTAGGCGTTTTGGTACTCCGGCTTCTCGGGCTTATGCTCATTCCAGGTGATTCCAGTCTCCCAATTTTACACTAATCCTGCTTTTTGGTTTGTTAGAAAGAATTTGTGCAAAAGGCTAATGGTGCTATTTGTTTGTATTGAGAAATTTAGATTAAAGTGCTGTGGTGTAATTGTACAAAAATGTAAATATTTTCAAAATTATATTCTTTGTGCACAGTAGTTAAAACTTTTTCTGGAAATCAATAGAGTTAACTACCAGACTTTATACTGAGGAGTACCATCAGCGCTTGGTGCGGGGAACCAACCGGCCTGGTGGCGCGCGCAGTGACGGGGGGAGATGGCAGTAACGGTGGCTTGGCCGGCCTGGCGGCAGAGCGCAGAGGTGTGCAGCTGAAGCAGACGTGCTTTCGAAACTCATGGAATCCCTTTGTGTGAAACCCAGAGAGGCCACTCGGGAGGCGCACAGGAGCTGTGTCATAAGCAGAGCCCTAGTGAATCACTGTCAGCAAAACTGCAAATAGGGAGCTGAGGTTGATCCTCTTCACTATAGACCTGCCAGTGGGATGGGTGAGGGGTGTTTACTTTGCAGGCTGTGATCGATACACTGGAGTTATTAATTCAAAATTGAATAAAAAATAAGACTCTAGGGGAAAGAAGCAAAGGGAAATGTAGAATTGCAATGACTTTTGAAGTGCTGTGTCAGCAGCAGATGTTAAACATTTAGTAGGAATGATAGAACTTGCTCTTCCAAGTAATGATGAATTCCGAAAGTGTTTTACATCTATGGCATGAGCTGACGCCCACCTCGTGCTCCTCCTCCGAAGCAGCCGAAACCCTTATCGGGGGGACCACAGCTGGGTGTGTGCAGAGACCGAACCCCCCTGTCGGTGCTGGAAGTGAGGGTGGTGTTGGCGGGGCCAAGCGCAGACATCTCCCGTTGCCCTCCGGTGCAGGTGGCCCCTGCGGGGCAGAACGCTTCGCTGCATCGGCGCTGGTGCCGGTTTGGAGCTGCGAGGAGCGCAGGCGCCGTGCAGGAGGGCTGTCCTGCTTGGGGGTGTCAGCGAACGCAGAGGGACCTTTCTCCGTAAGGTGAACATTAGAAATCCCTTTTCCCAGTATTCCAGGGAAAGCAGTGTGTGTTTGAATTACTGTTCATTTTTGGTTATTCCCAGCTGCCATCGCAGAGCTTGCTGAGGTGGGAAGGAGCGTCCGTAGCTGGAGCCACGTAGGGCAGGCAGTGCAGCAACTGCGATGGGCGGATGCTAGACTTTTAAAAAAAAAAAAGAAAAAAAAAAAGAAAAACAAGGCTTTTAAGGCTTTTTGTGTAGCCTCAGGTGAAAACAGAGTGTTCTGTCTGTCTGCACCTGTGTGCAGAACAGCCCATGTCGTCTTGGTGGCAAACAAGGTGTACGACTCAAAGGCCGCTGCAGTTCATGGAAATGTTTTCTGTGATTTCCATAGACTGGCTGTAGATTCTGTGGGTTTTTTAACCTTCCTGATTACACAACTACTAACTTTGATACGTTTTAAGATTTGCAGAAACTTTTTATAGCGGGTTGCTGTACAAGGCTTGCTCTAGTGTGGAGTGTCAGCAAAGAGCAGACACAGGTTTGGTTGAGGGTAGTCATCTCACCTTGTTATGGTGAACATACCCTGCGCCGCCTTTTCCTCTCGCTCTGGAGCTGAGTGACCTGACTCCAGCCAGACTGACCTTTCCAGCCCAGTGACCATTCCCAGATTCCCGTGACAGCCCCATGAAGTAAGGCTGGGTGAGCTGTCTCTTGGTACCTTTCCTTCCAGCCGTTATTGATGTGTTTTCTGTCTGAAACATTCCTAGCGATGGGTTTGGAAACGTGAATTGTAGGGACGCTTGGAGCGCCGTTTCCTGGTGGATACACAACAAGCTGCAGGAATCCTCATCAGCGAGAGGGACGCTGGGCTGAGCCTGCCTCGGGGGCTGGCGTCTTGGCACAGCCGTAGCAGCCCGCAGGCGTGAAGAGATGTGATCCCCCAGGCTGGCGCATTTCTCTAGCGGTGACGGTCCCTGCTGACGCAGATGTCTTACCCGCTACACTGTGTTTTGCTTGCAGGGGTTTCGTGTTGTGCTGACACGAGGTGCGTGTCTGTCGGGATGGCTGTGCCCGCACGGCAGCTGGCTGGCGCTGTGGGTGGGTGCAGTGGTTCGGGTGTAGGGGAGCCTTAGTCCACAGCTGTGCTGTGGCACCAGCGTCCTTTGCTGCTTGCGGTCTCCTGTTTGGATAGCTTTTGGGTATCTCTTTCTAGCAGGACTGATCTAACACAACTTCGGTTTTGTTTCTCCCCTTATCTCTTCCTTAAGACCTCGTTGGGTGCTAAGGGTCCCCTGCAGAGCACACTCGTACCCACAGGGGTTTTACAGAGGTGGCCTCGTCCCTCCTGCACCACACGCAGCGCGTCGGCTTTGCCTGGGGCAGTTGGCTTGTGCACATGTGGGGCTTCCGTGGTGGTGGGGTGCCCGGGATGAACTAAAACCGCCTCTCCGGGCGCACGGTGTCGCCTGGGGTTAACCCAAGTAGGGTGGCGAAGGGAGCTGGCACGGGCCGGGTGAGGACGGCCGCGCTAAGATGCACGTGGGCACTGTGGTGGTCTTTGCGGTGAAGCTGGCACGAGTGGCGGAGGGACCCTCTGTGCCAGGGCTGTGGACGGACCACCTCAGCTTGGCACTGGGGCGGTGCTTCCTTCAGGTCTTGCCACTTCCAGGTTTTTTTTTCCTGATGGCTGAGAGGTTTTTTTATGAGTAAGTATTAAAGCCAGCCATTAATTTTGGTAAACCGACATAAGAAATTGTTGCAAGAGAATTCCTAAGGTTGTTTCTTAACCAAACTGTTTTACTGGTCTTCCAAAACATCGCTTTAATTTGTGGCAAAGGGAATGCGTTTTCTTCTTCCTTCCACGGAGCTGCTGTTCCAGTCACTGTACTCACTTTACTGCAATTCTCGATTTATGTATTGAAACAATTTGTTACAAAACACTCGGGATACATTTGTGCTGGAAACCCACCTCGTTAAGTTGATATTCAAAGCACTGTCTGGTTTTTTTTAAATGTATTTGTTCTTGATTTGTAACAACTCATGCAAGGGTAACTGCATTATTTAATCTGTATTAACAAATCTCCTGTAATGCTGCAGTTTCACATTTATTTTCCTTACTATTTGTAATTATCATGGAAACAATGTCACTTTTTTGCATCTTACTAGTCTGGTTCATGTTTTTAACTTACCTTCACTAATCGTCATTTTTGGTTGTACCATTTGTTAGAATAAAGACCAAAATATACTGTTTGATTCTGAAACTGTTTGGCATGTGAAATCAAGTTTTAACCTCCTGCCCCAGTGCTTTTCTGGATCTATGAACACTGTAGACGTGCATCTCTGAGTAGGGACTCTACCTGAGGGGCCAGGCCCACACGGCTACATCCTGCAAGGGTATTTGTCATTTTTTAGATAAAATCCTCCCATTTCACTGTGGACTGCCCTTTACCCTCATAAAGCTCCATGTCTAGTACACAGGGGAACAGCAGTGGTGGGAAGACAAGGGCAGGAGCTTCTGGCATTTACCTGGAGCAAAGGAGTCAAGTTTAGAAACAGCTGCCTGGGAGGGAGCAAGGGGGAGCTCTTGGTTCTGGAACCATTCAGTAATTACAGAAGTTTTATCTCCTAAATCCAGAAACGTGCTCGTTTAGATAACAAGGTGTGACAGTTGGTCCCAACAGTCTGTTGGCAGAACTGAGGATGACTGGGGGAGCAAGAGTAGAATTTCTAAAGTTCCATTTTGCCTTGTAGAAGGTGTTTTGGTTTTTTAAGGGCTTTTTTTTTTTCCTTGGAATTACCCTTCTGTCCTCCTGTGAGTATCTAAAGTTGAGCTTGCAGAGCTGAGAGCAGGACAGTCCGCTGTAGTTAGGGACTGGCTAACTTTTAAAATCTTTTATTTCTAAAGAGCAAGGAGAGCTCACGTTCAGAGTTACAGAGAGTGCTTAAAACATGACCTAAAACAAGCCTGGCTGTGGCAAAGTAACTTTTGCAACGAGTACGACACACCCTGGGGACTGTCCAGACTGACATTTTTCTTTCGCCTATGGTAAGTAAGTCAGTCATGAACGCGCGATCCCCAGCTATTGGGACAGGCCTCCACAGCAGGACAGAACTTCTTCCGCCTGGATCGCAGTGCTTTGCTCTCGCTTAACAACACGGGCCAGGTACGCTCATTCCAAATGAAATAGCGCAGCGTGAGCTGTGTGCTGATGGGTACCCGGGAAGTTGGAACAGTCACTGCTGCCACACTGGGTTTTGTTGTAGAGGAAAAGGCATCTCGTTCCTGAAGACTGGAAGGAAGGTGACGCTGGCCAGCTTGGTGCCGCTGTGCCAACGGACTGCCAGGGATCCGAGGGAAAGCTGAAATCTGTCAGCAAACAGAAATGGATCCTACTTGATACTAAAATGTGTTGGGTTTTAAGAACTCCGGTAGCTGAAACATCAGCTACTGAAACACTTCATGTAGCCTGGGCTTTAACACCACAGTGTTACTCACCTGTGGGTCCTAGCTGGCATTTTCCAACAACTTCAGGTTTAGTTTAAAGTAGAAAAAAAACAGCACGTTACCACAGTCAGTTAAACCCACCTGTAAGAAGGCCAGAGACCAGGAGAGCAGTGTCTTATCAGGATGAAACGATTCAGTAATGCAGGGAGGCACTACAGGCCTTGGAAGGCCTCAGCACGAGAACCAGGTGAGCCTACATGCTCAAATAACAGGCAAACCAAGTTCCAGTTACTAAAATCTGCGGTTCTTCTGGCTCAGCACTTGAACTGCACGACAACACACACATGCAGGGGAGAGGACACTCTTCTACAGGTTCGTGCACCACAGGAGGGCAGAGCCTCGTCCGTAACGCTGCTGGAGGGACGCCGCCGCAGGGCAGGGGCTGCTCCCTGAAGCGATCAGCAACTGCTGCAGCTCTGCAGCCTGGCCAGCACCGGCTCGCCTGAAAGGCAACGAACCAAAACCAGCTGAGGTTACATGTGGAATTAACCAACATGGTCTAAAACCCCATGTGTGTCTCCACCGGGGCTTGGGCAGCGGAGGTATGCAGTTAATGTATGCCGCAGAGCAGGGGGGGCAGGAAAATGAGCCAGAAACAACGTGGGTTAAATACAGGGGGCCCTTCCTCTGTCAGCTTGAGCTCAGGCCCCTGGCTTGGTCCTCCGTGGGAGCACGTGAATGACTTTCACAACAACAAGGTCTAAGGATCAAGGAGGTTTATTACTAGAAATCGTTTTTGTTCTTGTACTTCACACAGAAATCTCCCCAGGACAACAACAAAGGCACATCCATGAAGACCTCATGCACCTTCTCTGTGTCTGTTGGTGTTTTGTTACAAGAACTATCCCGCTCTCCGCTAGAAAGAAAAGCCTAGAACTGGTCGTATGACATATACCTCTCTGTATTGACAAAATACTCAAAACAGTTGGTAAAAATTTCCATTTCTACAAATTCTAAAAATGACGCTGCGTATCTAAAGGGCAAGTTCCACTTTGCCTGGGGCAGGACAGTTTAAAAAGGTGGTTTGACTCCGCAGATTCACCTATAAGCAGCACCACTTACGGCTCGTTCCTAAACTCGGTAATTTAATCCAGTAAGCCTTTAGCTGACAT